TTTTTTTTAATTTCTCTGAACTGAAATATGAAACTTTCTCTTTTACTCCTACAGCATGTTGAGTATACTAGAGGTGGAAGAGGTGTCAAAAGAACAGAGAAATCGGGAAGGTAGAGCTGAAAAGGAAATCAGGATTGATAGATCGCTACAAAGCTAATTTGGCTTACACAGTGATGGAAGGAGCGATGAATAAAGGTCCTAGCCGAGATTACTAGGCATTTGCAAGGGCTGCTGAGAAGTTTCATGGTTTTCCCTTTGTAATCAGCATGTCGCCGAGCAACGAAGTTTTTCTGAGGACAAAAAGAACTAGAAAATAAAACAACATAGTAACTAGTAACTGAGATAATTGCTTGAGAAATTCTCTGTAGATTAGCAGGTTTCGGATTGTACCTTATGTTAGTACAACTAAAAAATTGCCAAAGCTTTTGTTCGACAATGAACATGCTGCACCGGTGAATATTTCAGTGGATTTATCTAACAAGTTTTCGCTCTTTCAATTACCTACGAACTACTTGTTTGTAAAGCTCTTAGCTGTCAGTGGCTAGCTTTTAATCGTCGTCGTTTAGTCACAAGTTCTTTACGATGAGTAAATATTCTGAGTTCAAAAAAGAGTTCAAGATTAGTGCACAGGCGACCTATCGTCCCCATTAGCTCCATTAAACTTCTGAAAGAAAGTTCAAGCTGTAAATCAACTTGAATTAGGGATAGTCCAGTCACAGGTTCCGACTTGCTGAATTATTTAAGATTGTGGCAATCTCATGTGAAGATGAGGTTCTTGCACTGACCTCAATCAATTTCAGGCCTTAAGTCCTTCCCTAAACTTCGGGACCCTTACTTTACAAGATTAACAAAGTTCAGCTACAAGTGGCCGGAAATCATCAGATCAGCTAAATCAACTGGAAGAATCGCAAGAGTAAACTACGTTTGATAAATGGCGGGTTGTGTCTGGATGAGATGAATCACATCGGCAATGCTCGTAGTTGGATCGCACTCCAGAATAATTGGGGCAAATCATTCATCTAAGAATGGCTAGTTCAGCTTGCTATGAAAATAAAATGAAAACCAAACTCTGGAGTCTCAGAATCCCTGAGAAAACCTTCATTTCAGCTATGCTACTTTCACATGATCTGCAATAGCGAGAGGCAGAGTAAGGCGCATGGCGCATCCCAAGACTGTCTGCCAACCTTCAAAATCTTATTTGGTCGTAGTGAAGAAAACAACAAGTATTAACAAGTAAGAAGCAAATTTCCAATAACATTTAAGCTCTGTTGTTCGGGAAAAAGTTCAATTCCAAAAAAAAAAATAAAATAAAATAAATCTAATAATTCAAAAAAACTCAAATGGTCGGTAGTCCAGCAACGATTGAATACAAAAAGCAGAACGAAAATCATCGGGCCCGTAAATCAGAAGGAGTGGACGAGTTTACACGGTGAATGACTACACACCTTTTAGTACCTCCAGTTCGCCCACCTGAAGGTGGAGCGTAGGCAAGAAGGAGTTTGACAGATACCTTTGGCTGGCCAGGATTCTTTCCAGACAAATTTTTTTGAAGAGAAACCTCTGGGGATCTTGAATCGACGTCAACTGCCCCTCTAAGCTCTTCACCATGTACTAGATTCGATTATTATATTTTTAGTACATTAAATTATTATTCGATTAAAGTAATCACTTTATTCGGAGGAGTATCATGAAAATAGTGATAAAAACACCTCG